GGAAGTTCTCTGGAGATGCTTGGCTGTAAAGGGAATTCCGAGAAAATATATTGCACTGATTAAGGCACTCTACTCGTACTCATACAGCCAGGTGAGGGCTTACGGCGAGCTGTCATCTGAACTGATGACGACCAGTGGTGTCCGTCAAGGATGCCCATTATCTCCTTTTCTATTCAACTTCATCATAGATGTGTTAATGGACTTAACCCTAGGTGACTTCAGCGACTCAGGGATTGACTTGCTACCGGGAATAATCTCGTTGACTTGGAATATGCAGACGATATAGTCCTTCTAGGCGAAGACGCTGACGAAATGCAGAGTCTTCTAAACACCTTGAGCCGCAATCTACGAATGTTTGGCATGCGATTCGCTCCCGCCAAATGCAAGATGATGTTACAGGACTGGACTACATCGACGCCTAGTTTAAAAATAGGAAGTGAAGTGGTAGAGCACGTTGACCGCTTCACTTATTTGGGAAGTACCATCAGCCCCAACGGGCTGATCTCTGACGAAATCTCAGCACGAATACAAGGGGCTCGTTTCGCATTTGTTAGTTTACGCCGACTCTGGCGTAGACGAGATGTTCGACTATCGACCAAAGGGCGGGTGTACTGCTCATCAGTCCGCTCCGTCCTCCTTTATGGTTGTGAGACCTGGCCACTGAGAGTGGAAGACATGAAAAGACTAGCTGTCTTTGATCATAGGTGCCTGCGTTCTATTTCCCGTGTAAAGTGGCATAATAAGGTGAGCAACATGGAGGTTAGGCGTAGAGTTCTAGGTAAACAGGGGAAATCAATCGACGAAGTCGTGAAGCTACAAAGACTGAGATGGTTAGGACATGTGTTACGTATGCCAAGCCATCGCCTCCCTCGACGAGCAATGTTAGCGGATATAGGGTCAGGCTGGAAAAAAGCTAGCGGCGGTCAAACAAAAACTTGGCATCAGTCAATGAAATCCACAACAGTTGGTCTAAGCCACGTAGGAAGGTGTAGACTTCCAGGCTGGGGTCCTCGGGACGGTAAAAATCTATGGTTGGAAACAATTGGTGACATGGCTCAAAATCGTTCTCAGTGGCGCAGATGCATCCACTCCCTGTGACTTATGATCTTCAATGAAACTGTTTTGTATTTCTTTATTACTCCTTTGTCTCACACCTCTGCTCACTGTTTCTATTATGCTTTTCTTGTACTTTCTTCTCTTGCTTCGCGTGCTACACGGAATGTGGCGACTTGAACTTCCGCACATTTGTGCAAAGTTCTATGTCGAAAACAGATAGACAGACACTATTAATTCTCTTCACTCATCTTCTTGTCTACCTTTGTGTGCTATTTGGATCGTGGGAACTCGAACTGCTGCACTTGGTGCCAAGTTCTATGTTGAATCCGAACAGACAGACAGACACTCCAGCCAGGTAACACACAAAGAAAGAGAAGACGGTAAAGAGAGATTCAAAAGAGAAAGAGATAATGAACAGAAATATGAGGCAAAAAGAATAGTTGTAGTATAGAAGAATAAAATTTTATTGGTATTTTAAATCACAAAGAGTGAATGCAACTGCGCCAACCATTGAGAACAAGGATTTTGAGCCATATCACCAATTGTCTCCATCTTAGCAATAAATCAACAAACACATATATGCTGCTGTGTGAGTTTTAGACCAGGTAAGAAGAGGCAGCCTTCCTGGTTGGGGTCTTCAGGGTTCTAAAAGAACCAATGGCTAGATGACTTATTAGTGATATGGCTCGAAATTATTCCAGATGGCGCAGATGCATTCAGCCTTTGTGGTCTGGTATATCCGAAAAAAGCCTTTTTATTTTTCCATGTTAATATTCTTTCTTTCTCCTGCACATTTCTGCTCGTTCTTTTTAGTCTATTTTTGTTATGGAGTAACCGAGTATAAATATGACTAACGAGATACAATGGACGATGACGGGACGACTGGTGTCGCTTAGTCGTCAAATTTGCCTGACCCAAGGAGTAATTTAGAACCACACGATGACGAAGGATACGCATATTATTCCAACAAGGGAAATTAACTGCCACACACGAGTATAAAGAAAATACTAACATATATGAACCAATAAGATACATAAGTAGTTTCTCTTACTGCCAACTGGATTTTGATTGGCTGCGGTGTCATGTGGCAAAGGTCGATTGACAGACAAGATAGACTGTGAGTCATCACTGACTAACGATCAATAGACGTACAAACAAAGCAGACATTATGTGACTACAAAGCAGTTTTTTATCTCTCTCTTTTGTCCACCTTTGTGTGCTAAATGGGTGTGGCAACTCGAACTGTCGCATTTCTGTGCAAAATTCACTGTTTAAACCAGTCAGTCAGCTAGTCGGTTCCGTGCGTCAGTAGTTCAATGATACAATGCTTGCCAGCCACATCCAGGGTTTGATTCCTGGTTATCATCTAACTGGTATCAAGCTGGAGGTAAAGAGGAAAGGTTGGGTGTAGGGCAAATAGCCTCAGTCCGTAGAAGACGACACCACGATTACTGAAACTTCAAAGCCCAGACCTGAAGCCCCCACAAGCCTAATTCCATTTTAACATTGCTTCTCGTAGAAAGTGGTGGCATGACATACGCAATTATTTATTATTATTTAAATGCAGAAAAAAACTTGGTACAATATGGCACCAAGAAAGATGCGCCACACAATAATAAAACAACATACATCAAAAGTAAAAAATATATACAAGTACAGAATGGATTAAGAACTTCATCTGGAAGAAAAACAGTCATGCTTAACAAGTTTAAACAGTATTTGTTAACTATCATCGGGAAGGGAACAAAGAAGGAAATTGCAACATGTTCGCCATTGATGACTACGATTCTTGGCCATATCCGATAACGTTTGGAACTATCTCGCGGACCACAACCAAGGAGCCGTGACGCACCAACCGATGCTAATCTACCACAAATATCCTTTAACCTGCGACGCCACGTCATGGACTGACCACCCCCCTCCGCCTTTTCCATCCCATCCCAGGGATGGCCAGCGAACAGATACCTGTACGGAAGCCTCTGGGATAACATTCGCAGCACATGTCCAAGCCACCGGAGCCGGTATTTCCAGATGACACTCAATGAATGGTGATCTCCAGTGTGCTCAAACACACGCCGCCGAACCTCAGAATTACTCAAGCGACGATGCCATCGAACACAAGCAGTTCTGAGACAGCGATGGTCGAACACGCAGAGTCGCCGCACATGCTCAGCTCGGAGAGGCCAAGTTTCACAAGTGTAGAGCAAAACATCCTCAAGTGGTTCACCCGGAAGAGTGAGTGCAGGTACAGGCTCCTGCCAATCTTGTAACAGTACTTTGAACTTAGACGGCGCAAAGTATATACCATACTTACAGACACTGATCGCCAAATGACATACGCAATAGGTCACAGTAAAATTCCTTTGGTAAAACTGACAAAAAATCTTCAAATAAATAAACGTGGCAACTCATTTGATCATTTTATAACTTCAAAAGAAAGAGTTGGAGTGAGTCAGTCTTACAGCGATAAGTGTACGCCAATATATATAAACATATATAATCTGACAAAGGGGCTTTGTATGCTTTCAGAAGTGTGTGGGCGGTTGTTACTTTCCAGCTGTCTACACCGTGGAAGTTGTTTTTTTCTCGGGGTATATGAAACAGAAAGAGCACTACTGTTGCTTGGCCTCCTAAATCAGAGGACGACCGCTTAAAGCCATTCACATGCAGCCGGCTTTTGGAGTTGTGTCCGTATTCGGATCGTACCGCCACAAGATAAGTCACGATATGCAATATTCGGGGTCGACATTTTCCAAACCCACCTACTCACTCTGAAAAGAGGAGAGGCAACACCGCTGGTACGCTAGTCATCTAAGGGAAACGCACAACTTTATTGTTTTTCGATATTACTATTCTTCATGCCTCATATCTCCGTCTCTATTTTGTATTTCTTTTTACTCTCTTCTCTAGCTTTGTGTACTGAGTGAAGTATGGCGACTAAAATGCTGCACATCTGTGCAAAGTAGTTCTACGTTGAAACCAGTCACTCAGTCAGACATGTGACTGCTGTTACATCCTCATTCCCTAGATGTACAGACCCCCTAAAAATAGTGTACAGAATTTGCACTATGACGGTAAATGCTTTCAGTCCAAACAAACTTTCTAGCACGGTAGAAGCTAGTTCCAGCCAGTACAACTTATGAGATAATTAAGATATGTAAGCCCGACCACCACGTCAATGTGGTAGCTATTGGTCGGGATATATACACTCAAAGCGCTTAAAAGACACGTCACTTAGTCACCTTCCAGTAACACAAAATATTACATACATGCTCTAAACAAGTCACTTCCCACCCACAAGAGTAAATGTATTCCTGAGAAGTCGAAGTTCAAGAGAGAAAACAATCACCTCCACACAGTATACCACTTATAATAAAATTAAATGCGTAAACTCACAAAAATGCACACACTTGTTATTCTTTCTCTAAATACAAGCAAACAGAGTGTTAACACATTTTGTTATTTCATATGCTAACAGAGAGTCAATATGCACCAACATAAATCATCGTAAGCATAAGGCTAACCCTTTAGCAGTTACTAACGCGGAAATTAGTCCGAATGCTCACTAGTCACTTGCTACATGACAAAGTTGTCAGGAGTTCTAAAGAGGAATCGTGTCCAGTGTGGTCCACCAGGTCACATGTGAGGAGAAATCCTCGCCGACGACATTGGCTGGATGTTGCATTAAAGTCATAGACTGACAGAAGTTACAGTCCATGAGACACTGGATTCTGGTAAAAGTGGCTGGACGGTTAATTAGCTTTGTCCTGTAACCTGAAGGTCATGGGTTCGAACCTAAGACGAAACAGTTGTCTACTTTTCTGTGCTTTTCAATGACACTAATCCATAACAGGAACTTGAGAAAAAAAATCAAATTCCTACAAGCTAATTCTTGAAAATGAAGTTGACTAAATACGACGAAATAAGGATAAAATGATACTTACTCAAGCTCACGAGCCATTGCATTTGCAGCAGACATAGAGACTTGACGTTCCGATGTAAGATCAAATTTATTCCCAACTAACACAACATCAGGACGATCACAATATGCGTGTTGACACAGCAGATTCATCCATTCACGACAATTCTGTAGACTATTTTCATTCGTCAAATCGAATACAAGCAGAAAACCCATTGCATCACGTAGAAACACTGTGCATAAACTTCGATACCTGAAATAATAATAAAAGTAGTAATATAAAAATTAACCTGAAATATACTACTTAATTTCTCCTTTTTTGAAACATTAAAACCCAAAAATGTCTATAACTGAGTTGGTTGAAAAACGTTATATTATCATGCTAGACATCAAAATCAGTGCTGTTGTACAAGTGAACAGTGATACTCCGTAACGTCAATGCTTTTCATGCAGAGTATGTGTGAACCGAAGCTGAGTCGTGCCTATTCGAGTGGCATCGTATAATTTCCAAGTGAAATGTTCGAAAAAAAATGTGACTCTGTGAACACCAGTTGGATTTGTTTCGTCAAACAATTGAGCAGATCACAAAACTCTCTCAGAGATGTACTTGAATCCAACTTCGAACGGAATGTGAGTGAAACATCTTAGGTAGTACGATCGAAGCTTTATGTTCATCTACTTTTAAATAAGCGATTGATTTTAGTGGCTGTTATTACAATCATAACATAAACTTGGTACACTATGTGCACCAACATTTGCGCCACACAAAATTTCATTGTTCCTGCGAAGTCTGAGACAGTGCCCCCACCTCCCAGCCTTTGACTTGATACACAAGACAGTGGAGCAGTGTTCCTATTGTTTCAGGTTTACACAGACCATACGATCCTTCGGGTTTTGAAGCTCATGTACAACAAAGGTTTGCAATCAGGGCCGTCCAGATCACCGCCATAGGTGAACCAGCACATTCACCATCAGTCTGGTTGTGAGCGCCAAACGTCCGGATTCGCCTTCCCATTGTTGTGAGTAACACTGCTGTTTGAAGAGGCATTGAAATAGGATCTACTTGGCAGTAGCTATGTACTCGTGGCCATTTTGACAGACAGCATTTCGATAGGAAGACAGAAGTTTACTTACTCACCGTCGGTCATGTCAACTCGTTTATGGAGGCAAGTTAATTACTGATATTTAGGCGCAGATAAAACAAAAATTTTGAACTGAATAACTCGAAGTTAGTAGAACTATGAGTGAGAAAATTGACTTTTTAGATAACTCGATGACTTTGTATATTTTGTTACGGTTTCTAAGGAATTTCTCACAATCAGTGACAACGGCATGTCTGTCTCTTTTCGACATAGAACTTTGTACCAGCAGTTCGAAATGCCACACTCCCTCAATGTACCACACAAAGCAAGAGAATAAAGTAGAAGAAATGCGCAATAGAGACAGTAAACAGTGTGAGACAAAAGTATAGTAATAACGAAGAACAATATAGTTTTATTGGGCATTATAAGTCACAAGGAGTGGATGCATCTGCGCCAGCCATTGAGAACGATCACTTTGAGCCATATCACCAATTGTTTACAACAATTGGATTTTACCGTCCCGAGGACCCCAACCAGGAAGTCTGCACCTTCCCAAGTGGCTGGCTGGCTTAAACTAACTGTTGTGGATTTCATTGACTGGTGCCATGTTTTTGTTTGACCTCTGCTAGCTCTTTTCCAGCCTGACCCTATGTCAACTAACATTGCCCGTCGAGGGAAGCGATGACTAGGCATACGTAACACATATCCTAACCATCTCAGTCAATGTAATTTCACAGCCTCGTCGATTGATTTCCCCTCCTTAAATAACACTTGACGCCTAACCTCAATATTGCTCACCTCATTATACCGCTTCAAACGGGAGTTAGAACGCAGGCACAAAGACAGCTAGCTAATTTTTTCATGTCTTCGACTCTCAATGGTCAGGTCTCACAGCCATAAAGGAGGACGGAGCAGACTGATGAGCAGTACACTCGCCTTTTGGTCGATAGCCGGATATCATCAGTTTCAATAAACTTAACAAGTCATAAGGGTCATTCTAGGCAAAAAAACTGACAGAGGATCTCAATTTGATTCCTTTTTTTTACAAAAACTTGTTGAAGTTTCTAGCATCACCCAGAATCCACTGCATAGCATATATCACTCAAGCCAATAGGATGATACAATACTTTTTCTCAACAACGGCGGGTTAGGGGTTAACATTTCACTCTAACTCCACTCACTGGACGGAATAATAATGGCTCTATTCCAAACAGTAAGTACTTTGGTTACAAATATGGAGTTTTTAGCATGTTGCATCTAATTTTCTCATCATAGGGGCAACATTTATAATATGGCACTTAAATTAATAATATTGTTCAATAAGAATATGGATACACAATTAAATCAAGGGTAAGAATTAACGATAATATAATCACGACAAACAAAAACAATGTCGTTTACTTAGAGTTCCTCAGTATGTTGGTAATTTCCTGTCTTACACACCTTTTCATTGAAATAAGATGTGGCACGGGACATCTTAGAGTTTTGTACTTAGTTGTCTGAACATACAGTCTTCTATAGTTGTTCCTATCTGATGAGATGCTCGGAGAGGGTTGTGTACAAAGAGAGAGGATGTTCAGAGTTCGACAAGAGATAATATTTGCCAATTTCTTGCATGAGTCTATGTCTATCCACAACAGTATTATTATTAACTATTTATTTATTATTTATAATTAAAGTTAGTTTACCAGCACCCGACGCCCTACTGATGACACCACTTTAGTGCCCCTCATAGTGCGATAAAGTCTTTCCCGAGTAGCTTAGGAAAGATTAAGGTTTGGGGGAAGCAGGAAAGAAGAATAGGTAGAATACAAGAACCAATAAACTGTAAAAACAGAGGCTGTGATCCCAGATTGTCTCAACTTCCTTCAGTACAAAGTCAACAGAAACATTGTTATAGAAATTAACGTAATGTGGGAAGACCAGGAAAGGTGATCAGAGAAAAATACACAGTCCAACCTATTTAACATTCGATTTGGTTTCAAATTTTGTGCCTTCCATGGTGGTGCGATCCTCCGAAATAACCAGTATATGTAAGTCGCACTTGGGTATGAAACCGAAATTTCTAACCTGAAGATGTTCGGATGCTAAAAAAGTTTAAAAATTTGGAGTGCGATTACGATAACAATGAAGATGTGAAGTGAAGTGGAATAAATTCAAGTGGTAAAATAAAATAAAAACTAGAAAGAACATCACTATGACCAAGCTAAAGAAACGGGTTTGACAAAACGTTTTTGAACACATAATTTAGGCTTCTGTTCATTTATAGCTAAAGCTTCGACTATGCATAAGTGAAGAAAACGTAAACTTTTGGATCGATTCGATCTTACCATGTAGATATCTTTGAAGGATGAGTCACTTGGGACTAAATGACCAGACTCTAACAGGTGATCACAAATAGACGACTTCGCAGTTCTATGTTCCAAGCAGTTCGGCACTTGAAGAGTTTTCATCACATACAATGAAGGTATCATCAATATATCTTTTATACATAAACAAACTATCGATGGTTTCCTTTAGTGGACCATTCTCTAAGTTTGCCATGAAGGCATCAGCTAAGAGCGGTCCTAAAGGAGACACCATAACATTTGTCGTTGTCTGCCTTGCGTTCTATGTTACTGGTAATAACAATGAAGTAATGCAGATTTAAATTGTTCAACGTCTTCGCTAGACGTTGGACTCAAGTCATGTGTTTGATTCATGAGATTTTCAAACTGAACTTTTGTGTCTAATTCGTTAAAGCTGGAGGAAAAAGGAGAGAACTTCAGATCAAGAGACAGGATTTGCATTTGAAGTTCTCTCCTTTTTCCTCCAGCTTTAACGAATTAGACACAAAAGTTCAGTTTGAAAATCTCATGAATCAAACACATGACTTGAGTCCAACGTCTAGCGAAGACGTTGAACAATTTAAATCTGCATTACTTCATTGTTATTACCAGTAACATAGAACGCAAGGCAGACAACGACAAATGTTATGGTGTCTCCTTTAGGACCGCTCTTAGCGGATGCCTTCATGGCAAACTTAGAGAATGGTCCACTAAAGGAAACCATCGATAGTTTGTTTATGTATAAAAGATATATGATGATACCTTCATTGTATGTGATGAAAACTCTTCAAGTGCCGAACTGCTTGGAATATTTAATGGTTCTCACCCATCTTTGCTTTTCACGGTCGAAGAAGAGTCGAATTCCCCGTTTCACTTCCTTGATGTTAAGCTAGATAGAAGAGAGAATGGAACGCTGTTAAGGTCGATTTACCGAAAGCCAACATTCACTGGGCAGTACACTAACTTCAACAGTTGGGTACCTTTAGGGAGAAAGAGAAATTTTATTTATTCCTTATGCTCCAGAATTCGTAAAATCTGCTCTGCAGAGACAATCGATAGGTAACTAGATAACCTTCTATCAAATCTCCTTAACAATGGTTATCCTACAAGGTTTATTGAACGTAACATCAAGAAAGAATCCGTCCCTAGACAAATCACAGTGCCAAAGAAAAAAACTGTTTATGAGTCTGGCATTCAAAGGTGACACTATTTCGGAATTGATTAAAAATCGTTTATCTAAGTGTATGAAACGCACTTTTCCTGCAGCTGACTTACAACTAGCTTTTACCAGCCGAAATATGATTAGACAATGCGTCAAGGATAGACTACCGCTTTTGTCCACATCTATGCGTATTTACTCTTTTACCTGCTCTTGTAGAGCTGATTATATTGGACGTTGTAAGCGTAATCTCCGAAAACGTGTAGCTGAACATTATCCGGTTTGGTTAATGAAAGGCGAACATAGAACTGCGAAGTCGTCTATTTGTGATCACCTGTTAGAGTCTGGTCATTTAGTCCCAAGTGACTCATCCTTCAAAGATATCTACATGGTAAGATCGAATCGATCCAAAAGTTTACGTTTTCTTCACTTATGCATAGTCGAAGCTTTAGCTATAAATGAACAGAAGCCTAAATTATGTGTTCAAAAACGTTTTGTCAAACCCGTTTCTTTAGCTTGGTCATAGTGATGTTCTTTCTAGTTTTTATTTTATTTTACCACTTGAATTCATTCCACTTCACTTCACATCTTCATTGTTATCGTAATCGCAGGCCTAATCTTTAAAATTTTCAGACAACACTTGACATTTTTAAAACATTTTTGATAACGATTCACTTATAAAACGATCTTTAATAATTTTGTAATTTATCCCCTTCAACCCTACTTACCTCTTATAACATTCAAATTATCGTTATTCTTACCACATATATATGTGTATTGACTGAGGAATTATTTCGTGCCTCTTAGTAGCCTTTTTGTGTAATATAAATGCGACTGGACAGCTTGAAAATGAAGTCGTTGAAAAGAAATTTCTTCGCCGAAAAAAAAACTTTTTTCTTTATGAAGTTAGGTAAGAAGAAAGAATACAAAAATGCAGGAATAATAGCATATTGAGAACCACCAGCTAGAGTAAGTTGAGCAGCAGTGGAGCACTTCGCATTGTAAACGGTGTACTACCTCCTATCAGAAAAATTGGTATGCAACCACTTGGTAATCAATCCAGCACTGTGCTTGTGACGCAGCAAGCTTGTTTAAACAAAAGAGGCCTGGGTACCGAGTCAAAGGCAGATGTCTGATTATTACTGCACAATATTCAGCAGTGGCAATGGTATTCGCAACCACCCTAGAGCTCTACTGATAAGGACAGACTTCACTGTCATATGTATGTTGACAGACTTCAACTGCAAGTGGTTAGATATAGAGGACTTTCTCAGAAAATATTCCTGCTTGGTTACTTTTGCATATTTCTACTTTTGCGGCCGAAGTTTACCTCGGATTCTGCAAAGCGCCCTAAGGATGCCCCAGAAAATCTGCAATGCGCCTGAAATCGTTGGTAGCTGGTTATTGCATCAGGATCATATAATTATGAGAATAAATACATTTTAGATTTAATTTCCGTTAAAAATTATTACCGTTCTTGTCCAGCTGTATCCCATAGTTGTAGATGCAATCGTTGTTTAGGTCCAAGAAGGCCTTCAGAATCACGACTTTCACGGACTAATCTTTTCTGACGAAAATCGACACCGACTGTTGTTGTAAATCGTGGATTGAAAATATTATCCGTATATTGATATAACAGGCTTGTTTTTCCCACATTACTATCGCCTATTTTTGAAATACAGACATAAGTCAGAAACATAACCAAAATAAATAAACAAAATAATAATGCCTACATTGATTAGATACGTTTGCACATACTAGAAAACCAGCAGTAAAATTACCGAGTGCCAGGAGCTTTATTAAGTAATCATATTCGTCATCTGGGGCAGCAGAGCTGTGGAAGAGAGAGTCGCCCATAGCAGAAATTTAAGAGTTTGGAAAGCCGCCTTGGCCCAATTCAGATGGTATCCAATCTTCAATGTCCAAGATCCATTGTTTGTACTATAGGGATGTATGAAATAGTCAATATCCCCCTAAAAAGATGTTGCAATGACTTGAGAAGTTTCACTGATGAGCCATGGACGTATACTCCTGAAGAATGGGCCTACACAAACCAGTGATGAACACATGTAAACACAGAGCCCGGGAGCGAGATAGAAGTGTGTTGTCGTAACGATAAGCACAAGTTCAGTATCTAATAATTCGTGTTGAATTCATCAATATCTTTCGACAATCTTCTCACTGAGTTCAAGTGGTCTGTATCTTCAATGTGGAAAAACATCACAGCCATGATGCTTACACATTACTTTCGTAAATGTCACACAGAAAAACTATTTTGTGTCCGCTATCTGTTGACTGAGGGAATGTCCTCTATATCTAGTTGATTTCTGTATAACAAATATGCTAATGGGGTATTGCATTTTTTATTTAATCCAGGGCATTTACTTGATTTTCAATCTTGCGATGTGATATCCATTTGTTCCGTACTGATAGCAAATTCTCTGGGTACGTCATACCTTTACTGACATTGTGTTAAGTATGGTAATGTCTACTGTTCACAACAAAACTTTTTAAGCGGTCCATTATCTGGCTTTCCATGATCCATACCACTATCGTAAGTGATATAGCGAGTTCACACAGGCAATGTGATTCCTATTACTCTTTGCAGAGTTTCTGTGAGTTTGGCTGACTGTGAAACAGTCGACGTAAAAATCTACGGAGGGTCTTTGTGCTATCCTTCATGGTGGACTGCAGGATGTCCATTTGATTTGTAACTTCCTAGGATTAAATTTATGCGTTCTGTGAGTTCTGTCCATTTGATCTTCTGTGTTTTCTGATGGCATATTGAGTTAAAGTGCAGGATTATTTCGTTTTTCTCTTGTCTAAGCAAGACCGCAAGGCGTCACTTGTTTTCATGTGAGTGAGGTACTGCCTCTCAGGCAGTTGATAAATACAGAATTCAAGGGAGCGAGACAAGTGTCTAAATAAGAACTACATCTTTATAATTTATCGGACTTTCTTTATCCAATGAACGATGAGTTCCTTCCCTTATGAGTTTGAACGAGTTATCCTGCCTCATTCAAACACCAGTGTGCCTTCGAATTGGCAGTGGAACGCTGCCCACATCAGTTGCTGGTTGCAGAAATCACCTGTCATGGTGATATCACGTTTGGGTTGTTTAACATAGTTTTCATGCGTTTTTTCGGCTGAAATACATTATAAATACCATATTTTAAGCAAAAGCCCTGAGAAAATGGAGGAAAGTTGTCGTTTTCAGCATTTTCGACCGAACTTCTAGTTGGTATCAAACTGGATTGTAATTGTGCATGAGGAATATTTAAGTTCCTTGTTAAGTGTTAATTACGGTAATAAATATGAAACAATTAAGGTTAAAGGAACATATTTTCCTAAAGGATGAAGAAGTGTTTTTTAATATGGGGGCTGTAAGGACTTCATAATGCTCACAAGATTTTACAGCCATAAAGGGATGTGAGTTGATTGACTCGTAAGACAACAATGGAGAGACAACCTTTTAACTTTGTTTCGTAGCGCTTACTTAATAGTAACCATTCTGTAACACATCCTTTAGTGTGTTTATTTTCCAGGTTGCGATCGTTACTTCCGCAATTATTATTATTTTCCTTAATTCCTAGAGGAACATAGGGCTTCAGCCGCGCGTCTCCATTGCCTTCGGTCCTCTGCCAAAGTTTTCACCTGGCTCCTAGTCTGCCCACTTTTTTTCGTGTCCACTTCACATGACCTCCTCCAAGTCACCCTTGGACTTGCCGCTTCCCTTTCGAGTTCCACTCGAGCAATGGCTTGTCTAGTGATGTCACCTGATGGTTTCCTCAGCGTATGGCCAATCCATCTCCATTTCTTCCTGCCTGTTTGTTTCACAATCGGTTGCTGCTGGGTTGGTTCGCTCATTGTCATAGATCCCTTTTGCTGGTCTTTTCTGGTTAACCATCTGATCTTGAGTAGTATTGAGCGAAGACAGATGTTGATGAAGGTCTGTAGTTTGTTTGAGGTGCCCTTTATTACGCACCACGTCTCTGATCCGTATAGTAGCACTGATTTCACATTGGAGTTGAAAATCCCGATCTTATTTTTGACGCTAAAAGCTGTTGACCAGCACACAGACTTGAAATTTATGAAAGCTTGTCTTGCCTTCCCGATTCTTGCTTTGATAGCCTCACCAATTTCGTCCGCCTGTAGTTGAAACGATGCTTCCCATTTGGGTAGGTAAGGGAGGTTGTTTCTTTCAGGTTCCTTCCATTTATGCTGGTTGATTGTTGCCTGTTGTTGTTGCTGCTGTTGATGACCAGGAATCTTCATCCCCTGCCTGTTTTCTCTCTTTATGATGCTTCTAGTACCAACTTGTTGCTTTCCACTTGCATATCTAATAGTTTGTGGGAAATCAGACATATATCATCGTCGAAGTCCAGATCCTCCAAGTTTTTTCTGCGAGTCCCTCTAATGTCTGCCTCCTCACTGCACGCCACTGTCTGTCGCATTACCCACTCCACCACGCACAATAAATCACTGGAGATGGTAGACGGTCTTGCCTTACTCCCATCCTCACTTCGAAGGATTCCGCAAGTTTCCAATTTGTGGATTACTTGGCATGCAGCATTGTCGTACAACTGTTGGATGAGATGTATAATTGTCGGTGGCATCCCGTAGCAGCGAAGTAGTTGCCAAATCACTTCTCGATCTACGCTGTCGAGGGCCATTTTAAAGTCATTGAAGTTGAGATAGAGAGGTGACTGCCATTTCAATCTCTGTTTAATGATGACCCGTAGTGTGGCGATTTGATCAATATATGACTTGTTTCTCCTGAATCCAGCTTGTTCCGGTCGACGTTTTTCATCCAGGGCTTGTTTGATTCTCTCCAGGTTGATGCGGCTTGGTATTATGTTTGGGATGGACAGGAACATAATTGCGCCCCAGTTTTTGCATTGACTTACGTTTCCTTTCTTTGGTAGTTTGAATAAGTATTCTTTCTTCCAATCCTCGGGTACCTCGCCCTCCTTCCACACCTTCTGCAGCAATGGCGTCATCAAGTCTGCTGTTGTCTCTGGGTCCATTTTCGAAGCTTTTGCTGGGATTCCATCTGGTATTGCTGCTTTTGCAGCAGCTTTTCCTGCCTTCGGGATTTCTGATTTTGTCAGGGGTTGATGTTCACTGGTAGTTCTACTTCCGTTGTTGGTGTTGTTGGGCGCGTTGTGGGTGGCGGTCGATTCAGAAGTCTTTGAAAGTGTTCAGCCCAGTGTTTTCTTTGCTCCACTTCTTTGGTGATTGACTTTCCACTGTCATCCCTCACCGGCTTAATTTGTGTTGATATCTTCCCCAATAGAAACCCAGTTGTTTGATAATGTGTTGCGAGGTCTCCTTTGCCTGCAGCCTCCGGAATCGTTCAACTTATTTATAAACTTTCATGAAGCATAAACAGAGGATATAAAGGTGAATGACGAAGCATCTGGGATATTATGGATGTATTTGTCGAAGTAAATGTTCCTAAAAGTACACAAGATATACACTAATAATAATTATTGTTTGGCGAAGTGGAAAGTGATTCGACTTAGCGGACGTAATACTCGTAAAAAGTCATAATTACACGTAACTTAAATGGATGCAAATAGGTACTTTCATTGCTTTTTAGTAGCTGCTTCCGCTGGTGGACTGTAAACAAGTGACATGTACACTGGAAGCCTATGTAAACAGCAACAATATTTCATGATAACAAAATAACCAATGCAGTTGACTAAAGTGGTCAACTAATGCACAAGCCTAAGAGTTGATGTGATCATGCAAGAGCCTGTTGATACGAAATGATAACGCAAGAAGAGCAATGTAGTAATACCTTTATCACCTAATGATTTCCTTTGAGACAATGCTGTTAAACGTAACTTGGAATAATAGACTATCTGTGATAAATAGAATATGCATTTCAAAGTATGTTGAAGTGCTGAAACTAACAGTACAAATACTGTGCGTATACAGTCTACACTCGCTAGGTTAAATTTCATTACTACAGCACACACACATGTTCAACTGCTATTTTCCTAACAATCGTGAATACTAATATTATGCGCGACCGGATCAACCGCAAGTGAAATACTTTTTGCAAGGCTTGATGACGCACTTAGGAAATAATAACAGTTTACGACCTTTACGCATTTCACACAAGTAATACTTAAGTGGCCTATCATTCTCGTTAACTCTGCAATGCCCGTGAAATGATGAATAAAAGAGATACAGGTAGCTGACATAAATGCATCCATTTGCAAAGAAACAATAATAAATCAAGTTAAAAATAGTTCAGAATGCAATTGTTCATATCTAGACTCAAAAGAGACAATAATGATCCAGTGAAAATAGTCAGTTGCGGAGTCATTTATAGCTGTGTCCTAGCCGTCATGACGTCCAATAAACGCTCTATCCGCAACATCTGTATCAGTTTTCCTCCGATAGCGATGGTTTTAGATCAGTTGTCCATGTAGTTGAAGATTGGACCATCAAAACCGATTCCTCCATATGTTTCGCGGGAGACATCAATACATCAGTCATCATCTCATCGTTCGTGTTCGGTGGAAGACAGAAAACTATCAGAAGTATTATCGTGATTTATTGTTATGACATTTATTCCTAGACCATGTGTGTAATAACCTTATTGATGGTTACGTATGGGCGTAAGAATAAATGATTCCGGAGTCGCAAATCTGTGTTCTGGTTTTTCGCGTTAATATTATGTTCCCATAGATTCCGCATCTCTTTCCTCGTGTCTACCGGATTTAATTGGAAAAGTGCTATTTGGAAATTTTTGGATCGTTCGGTCAAGTTCCATAATGCCTGGGTCAAAGAAAGGACAAATTGTTTTGAAAGCAGACAGGAAATTAACTAAGGCTGAGTTGCTT